CACATATGTCTCTAGATAAATAGATAGTCAATTTGGTCTGATGTAGCCTCAGCAAAAAAAAAAATGTCCCCAAGAACTGCGGCCTTGATAGAGGGTATTGTTCAGCAGCTCCACGCGTTTAGGAATTCCACGCCTATAGCAGCCTCACGCGCTTAGCAGGGGGAGTGCTTAGCCAATGTGCTTAGCTTGTGATAGACTGATTATAGATCCATATATCGGTGAAGCTAAGCACATAGCTAAACGTGTAACACTGTCAACGTGTCTAACATTTTCTTCTGTGAAACGCTTGAAAAGCTATACGTGCTTAACGTATGTTGTATGTATTTAAATGCTAAGCACTGTTTTTACAGTGTAAGGTAAATCAATTATTAGTTTAAGATATAATTTAAGTTTCAGCAAAGATGGAGGGAAAATGGTTAAATCATTTTATTGTGACCAACAAATTGTAGTTTTACTCACGGCGGACGTACTGCTATAAGTCTTCTGAGTGCCCTTCAAGAGAATTAACTAGATATACATTAAAGATATACTAGATATACATAAAACGAGAATGGAAATAAGCAGGCAAACCTAACCTAACCCTACCATGTACGCTTTATAAGTTGGAAGTAGACAATGAATTGCTTTTTCTCACAAAACGTCCTCTCTACAAGAGCAACACAACAGTCGTTTTTCAAAAAGCAACAAAACCACGTGACCACGTAGCTTTTTAACTCACAAGCCTAGCTAAAAGGGGTTTTATGAAGCTCAAAATTTACAAAATTACCTCCTAATTTGTGTATTTTGATAAAGATACCATTAGTTGGGCATGTTTTCAGAAGAATGTGCTCCGTTCAGGCCATTCTGATGATAATCCTTTAAAACGTTTACACATAAGTGAGATTCACACGGTCATCTTGAGGTACCCTGGAAAGTCGCCCAACCCTGCATTTGAGAAGTTTTTGAAATTATTTATTACGGAAATGAGAAACCGTTGAATATTCAGCACAGGCCAAAATCTACACTCATTTAATTTCACTGCTATAGTTTTTTTTATATAGTATAACACATAATTGTTTTATATTACTTTATTTACATAATGAACAGTGTTTTTATATAATATCTATGATATGATTGATATCTGTGATTTGGTGTACACTGCACCCAGAAACACGCGATTTATAGGATGCAATAAACTTTCTTCGCTGATTAAAGTAGGGGAAAATGTTGAAAAAGCTGAATAAAGTAAGGTAAAAATGGCGAAAATGTTGTATTATCTCGGTGAAAATGTTGAAAAAGCATAAATTATTCAATGTTGTGATATTCGTCTAGTTGAACTACCTCAAAGTGCTAGTTTGGGTTGCGGATGTTTCCATTATTGATGTTAAATGCTATCCTGGTTTTATTTTGTGCAGCTGTTGTAAACGAACCGGTGTTTATTAGTCCTGGAAACTTAATGTAGGGTAATTTGCATGGCGCGACACCGGAAGCACGTGTTCAGCGGTGTCACGCTGACCCGGAATCCATGTTCAGTATTAGTCATTCTAGTTTAAATCTGACACGTCATTCAATGATACCTTGAAATTTCCTAACATGAACCTGTGTTAAACATATGTATGTAAACGTAGCAACAAGTGGTATTAATACGAGTAATATATCAGTTTCCAGTTATTGTGTTATTATCTCGGCCAACGGTTAGGTGTACTGGTTCCGTTTGTCTGTCTGCGTGTTACCAACATTATGCAAAACAAAATGTGGATCGATTTTGATGAAAATTTCAGAAACTATTGGGAGGGGGCCAAGTAACAAACGATAAGATTTTGGGTGTAATTAATTAATTAAGTCTGTTTGTCTGTTTGCAACATTTTACAAAAAGTTTGGGAGGGTTTTTGATGAAATTTCAGGATGGGTCAGGAATTGTCTGAACATTGGTGTTGATTGATTAATTGATTTATAGATTTAACTAATTCAATTTATTAATTGCTTAATTAACTGAATTGATTATTCTGGGAATTGAGTTAATAAATTATTTAATTGAAGATAAATATTAAAGAGAATAGAGGTGCCTTAACGGAGTCTGCGCTTTCTGAGTGATTTCAGTTTCTTCGATTTTTTACACACCACCAGGCGTTTCCAGTTCTTGGTGCTGATAGATGGGTACTAATACTTATATCGGGAATTAAAAGAAACAAACAGCCGCGTAACAATTGTTACCTTTTTTTTTAATTTAGTATTCCTTTATTGAGGTAATTTTTTGTATAAGAATACACTATTTCTTGGAATGCCTGTCACTATCTCTCTATACATGTATTACTAAAAAAGAGGCTTGATTCATCGTTGATATATTGATATCAAAAGCTTTATCATCTATTTATTAAATTTCTTTGGTTTTTAAGGTTTTTTTTCAACCTGTGCGAACATGCTTTCTGTTATATGTCTATTTCTACTAGTTATGTCCGTCGTCATACAAATCTCTCTGTCTCTTCAATGTAAATGCGTCTAACTTCACCTCTAGCACAATACTGGGTCGTAACAATGTGGCAGAGACTCGAGAGACAGGATACACGCTAAAAGCAACTCTGTATTAAGGGATCATACTTGACTGTCTTAATATCATCGGCCTGTCTCCTTGACACTCAGGGCTTAAAGATTTGTTTGTATTCATCCGTTGCGATGACCAAGGTTACCAAAATTAATATCATTGACAATAACTCCTGTCGGTTCACAGTGGTACATGCCGAATGTGTCTATTGACCTTAGAGGGTGGCGCAGATATCAGACCAAGAAGTGTCAATATTCTTTTGATTTGAAACAAGTGACCCTTTGTCAAGAAGATGTCTTATCTTAAGAGACGACCCTTCACATCGCATCAGACGGGGACCAAACAGTTTGTTCACATATGTCGCTTTACTGAAAAAATATGAAAATTTCAGCGAAATTGTTGCTCTTTATTTTTACCGGTGGATGTATAGATGCACTTCCGTTGTCTGGGAACGGTACTGAATCGGCAATTCAGAAACTGGAAAGAAAAGTAGACCAGTTGTATACAGTGGTCAGCCAGTTAGAAATGAAGATAATGACACAACCAGGTAAAGGTCTTTATGATTGCTGGTAGAACTGTCATGGTTACATAAAACACGTAGCTGTGTCCAACAATTTGTTTTGAAGCAAACGAAATACATATTTTGGGGTTCTCCAGGTTTTTTTCCTCAAAAAATAGTTTTATTTCAGTGAGTTGTCCTGCCGGTTACACGGAGTTTCAAGGGTCTTGTTATATGTTTGTGAGATACTTAATGAGCTGGGACGATGCGGAGAAGAACTGCCAACGTTTCCATGGCAACCTGGTGACCATCCAGAGCGCAGCTGAACAGGACTTTCTCACCGATTACATCACCAAAAATGGCGGTAAGAAGGCGAATCGTGCATGGAAAAAGTTTTTCATGTAATGTTTTATACTCAGAATTCCACGATCCGATGTAACAAAAAGTATATCGGTTACTCCTATCTTATCTTTAGAACAGATAACTATTTATTCAGTATGTGGACCTGTTTTTTAAAACATACAAAAAATTCATGAGATAGCGAAAGCGATTTTTTACACTTTTAACGTTCAGAAAAACAATTGAAACATTCTTCGTATTGTTTGAAAAGTAATCATTCGTCGAGACTATTTTGAACAATTGTTCTAAATTTTAGAAATAACACAGAAATAACCTGTTGATTTAATAAGATATTTTAACCAAGCAGCAATCCAAACTTTTTTAGTTTATTGCTAATTAAGATATAAAATTTTGTACATTCAGATCTGTATCCACATTGGGGGTTTTGGACTGGCGGAATTGACAGAGGCGCAAACGGCATGTTTAGATGGACAAAAAACAATAAACTAATCCAAAATGAAGGAGGTAAGATTTTTCTTATCCTTAGGCCTAATTTTTTCTGGGTAGAGAGCAGGGGATTTGGGCAAACATACGGGAGTAACGATTTACAGTATAAACACTAGAAATGAATAATATTATCCTCTTTTATAGCTGTAACAAGAAAAATATTTCGTTTTTCAACAGATTTCCTGGGATGGGACTACTTTGATAGTGGTACCACGCAATCTAACCAGGACTGTATGGTGCTGTGGCGTAACAGGGGTTATCTCTGGCACGACTTAGGCTGTCAGGACAAGATGCACTCTGTCTGTGAAATAGAGAAATGATTAAAACCGAAGGAAGATTAAACAATTCGCTTGATTTGGTTAATTTTTTACTACCGAAAGAAGGTGCACCCCAATATAAACATAGTAACGGTAAAAACGAAAGTCGATGAACAGTAGAAAAAAAGTAGGAAAAATCCACTTGATTTCTTTTTAATATCCCGAGAAAGTGTGAAATATGCAACGGCAACCAAAATTGATGGACTGTAAAAACAAAAGTAAAAAAAAAAAATCCCCTTGATTTCACATGAATGTTGAAAGACAAATAAAATGATTTTTATTGATTTGTTTTAAGAATTCTGCGGCAAATACTATGTTCGCCTAAGTCTGAGACCTAAAATGTCATAGGCTTGTTTGTTAGTTAACAGGTAAGTTGAAATTGATCAAAATTATATTTCAGCCGTTGCAAAGATGTCATTTTAACAGCTTTTGAGGACTGCCGATTATCTATATAAAAGATATATTGGTGCTCACAATGATTCTGTGATTGTTCAAATGTTTATGGCATGCCGTGAACGCCGCCATGTTGCGTGGTTCCGGCATTGTGGGGGGGGGGGGGGGGGAGGTAAATAAAGCTTACGAAGACAGGCCAGTTCTTTACGACAGTTTTGCATTATAGGATACCATCATTTAACGGCAAATTTTCAAATAAGTGTTTTTAAACAAAGTCATTGTAATTACAACAGAAGATATGATTGGCAAAATTTGCGCTATTTTTTATTTTAACACAGGACTGGTATTGTTAATACAAAGTTTATATGTAAGACCTAAGTCTGTGAGATCTAAGCTTAGAGACGATAGAAATCAGTCTTCTGAATGAATTCCGTTGAAATATTGCACAAATTAGTTACTATCAAAGCAGCTACTATTGAAGCAACCAAATGGAATATATGACCCCTTTCAAATCAACCGCCATATTTATTCAGACACTCCAATGTTAGTGATCAGTCTCAGTAATTCTTCTCGCACACGAAGCCATGGGACGCGCCACAAGCGACTCTCACCAGATTTAAGTGGTTTGTACCATCCATGAGGACGCAGTGGTGAGCATGATCTCCAGTGACGGTGAGGTTGACAGAGTGACCATCACCCGCCCACATCAAAGTACCGTGGTTGGCCAGGTCATTACCACTGACCCACCATTTGGTGATGCCTGAAATAGAGGGGCAGCGCAATTGTGAATAATTTACCTACTCGTGATCTTCATCGAATGCGCAGAAAAACAGCAGATAAATAGCAGATAGGAAAAATAAAATATTCTCTCCCAAACTTAAGTGGGTTGGGGGACATGCCTGAAACTGGTTAGTCATACTTCCGTTCTTCTTTCTGTCAGTCCGTTTAGGCCTACAACATTGTCCGGTGTGACAGGAATGGTAGTCCTAGGAATGAAAGTCCGGGGTACCTTATGATGAGTACATGTTAAGGTAAGCCGGACTATCGGAGTTAGTATATGAGACAAATGGCACTTGTTCAAAGTAATGGGGAATGGACAAGGGTTCCTAGTGGACTACCATTCCTGGCACACCGGCCATCTCCCATCTTCTATCAAGGTCAAGATCAAGTTTTGAAGTTTTGAAGGAAGGGAGACTTACCTGCGCTGGTTGCTTCCTCAGAGGAGAAAGTTTGGTTCTTGATGTAATGGTGTTCCTCCGCCGTGTTCACGGACGCCAGACGTGCCCCATAGAGAACGGCGCAGAGTCTGTCTGCCTCGGGCCAGTCCACCGCCGCTGGGACGGCCTTGTAGCAGGACCGAAACTCGTCGTTCCTCGTGAAACAGCTTGGACACGGGTCAACTGGTGAATATCAAAATGACTTCGTCAAACATTAAATTTACAATTTCAATTTATTTCTGTACTGGTACATAAATGATCATGATCTTGCCCAATATAATAAAAACAATCGAATTTGGTGCAATACCATTCTTTTATTGGTAATTGGATTGCCAGTTTGTGAATGTACTAGTATATATCTTTATAAATATAAGGAACAGATTTACTGCTTTAGTTACTAATAAAATATATAAGCTAGGCGGTGAGATCCAGCTTCTTAGTGTGATTATAGATTCACCATAGACACAAACAATCATTAAACTAACAACCATGAACTACGTCAAATATTTTGCTGATTGAAAGGGCTTCAAAGACAATAACGTGGACCTGGAGTCTACCTGTCGTATTACAAGTGTATACCAATCGATTAGCTCATTCTTCGTTTTGTTTGATATAATTATTAATATGGCATTCAAAATATAAATAATGTACATTATTTAACATTCTTTATGTAAGCATTAAATAGTTGTTATCCAACACTATGTTTGCAAACATATTGTGAATAATGAAACTCCAAATGCATTCACAGTTGTACCTTCATAAGATAGCAGATGGTTATTTGTGTAGTTGATGAAATAGAAATATGTGAAATTAGTTCTTCTGATAACATATGATTTTATGTAATTTTAGAGAGTTAAACGTAAACTTACCGTTGCATCTTTCATCTAATTCAGTCAGTACCTCGTTGGTTTCCAACAAGCTTGCAATAGCTTTCTCGATAGCCGCGTGTTGAGCGTCCACTATCCTGTCATTGCTCTCCTGTTCGGGGCACGACAGATACTCGACTGGAAAAAAAGCCAGAGAGTAGAAGCAGTTCTAGCACGTAGGCCTACATGTTTCACACTATCCAATAGTCTATCAGCGAACCCGAACAATTCCGTTATCTTACTGCCTAAATGGTACAAATGATAATCTTGAGAATCACATTTTACAAGTTAGGTGTTAGGTCGGTCTCACTCTCTCTCTCTCTCCCTCTCTCTCTCTCTCAATGAACAATTGAATACATTCGTTTTACCATTTCTGCAAGCAGTCTGTACCATGTCCTCTGTCCGAGCGATCAAATCTTCAAAGTCTTCAGTGGTGAAGACATATCTCTCGTAAGGTTCTGAGGCAATGTCCTCCAGGTTGTCTCTGAAATATTAGAATTCTTTGTTTAGATATCTAAGAAACAGGAACTGGCAAAATAGTTTACAACACCCCCCCCCCCCCCCCCATTAATTTTTCTACTCATTTTTCACTGTTGTGCTAGTAAAATCAGACTTCAATGGATCTAAATATTTTACGTACCTCCTGATGTCGTCCCCGACTCCTATAGCCATGATTTTGACGCCGTCCGCCTTCAGTGCATCGGCATTTGGGATGGTGGCTTCTTTGTCTGAGTTTGGTTTACCATCGGTTATAACAATCACCATCTTAGCGTCGGTCTCATTGCGTTGGTTTTCATTAAAAAGCTCGTGGATGACCGCCAGCCCTCCGGAGGTGTTGGTTCTCGTGCCCAGCTGATTCTTGAATGCACGGTCCGCCATCTCTCCGACTTTGTCCAACACGGCTTGCTTGTCTGTAAGCGAAAAACATATGTTTATAAGATCAACAGGGCAAGAAATTAATGTTAAACCAGGTTCAGTGGTAGCCGGGTTTAGCATCACGTTGTACTCATCGTTGCCCTGTCATCTCCCTCTTCCCCCCCCCTGATTTTGACACCAAGCTTCTATATGTGATATAAACTATAACGCGAGTCTGAGTCCCTGTCCATTTTAGTCCTATTCATTTTGGCATGGTGTTATTATAACTTCTGCACTGGTATTTGAGGAGCTAGTTTTATTCCATCTTAATTCGATACTTTTAATTAGTTTTAATTAAATGACTGGCCAAATAGAACGACATCTACTGTCACACACATTGCCTCGTTTTCACACGAGAGAACCTCTAAATTATATTCATTTTGGCAAGGAAAACCCGTGGACAGCATCTGTAATGAGTTAGTAAAACGCCACTACCAGACAAACTCACCTGAATATTCATCAAAGGCGAAGTATCTGGTCGCTTTGACACTGAAGTAAACGAGGCCGAGGCGCACACGCTCGGCACCAACGCCGAACCTGCTGATAAAATCTTGAACAAACCCGACCACTTTCTTATAATTCATGAAGCCCACGCTCTTGGAAGCGTCCAGCAAGAACGCCATGTCGATCTTATCTTCTCTGTCGCAAGTGACGTGGTTGGCTGGAAGTATGGTCAATTTTCAAACGTTTTTTTTATTATTATTCTCAAAGATTTGAACGATCCAATTCATTTCTTGTGGACATTGCTGCCCTATGATGAGATCATAAATAGTGAAACAGTATATCAGGTCAAATTTCACTAAATGGTCGAAAACATAAATCAAATATCGGACGCGACATATTAATTCAAACAAAAACAAAGTGCCCTTATTTGGATAGCGATTCCACATTTTGCAGTTACATGAATGTCATTTTAAAAAGACTTTTTTTAGGGTCACATTCTGAACAAAATTACATTCCACAGCATAGGTTAAACTAATTAAGTTACCTGATGAAGCCTCCGAAGTGGAGCCCACCACTGCGATGGCGCAGTAAAGAAGTACCACAGAGACCAACAATACTTTCATGATGAGACGCTGAGATGTTGCAATCGAGTGTCACTTCTTGTCTTTTTGTCGTGATTTTAAACAAAATTCAACACCTACGCTGGTATACCGGCTGAGGATTGATCGCTTTATTTTTTGCATTCGTGATGCGCGACCAGATTGGNGAAGTACCGCAGATACCAACAACACTTTCATGATGAATCGCTGAGATGTTGCAATCGAGTGTCACTTCTTGTCTTTTTGTCGTGATTTTAAACAAAATTCAACACCTACGCTGGTATACCGGCTGAGGATTGATCGCTTTATTTTTTGCATTCGTGATGCGCGACCAGGATTGACGGTATTTAGATAAGTTGGCCTAATCACATTAATTTTTTATTTTGACATAAGTTGTTAAGTCGAGTGCCGCTATAATTGTACAAGTTCTAAGTGTAAGTAATCAACTTGAAAGCAATCAGCGGCAACTAAAAGCTCGGGTGTGCCCAAAGATTGTACACAAAACCAATTTAAATCATTCAAAATATATTAGTGAACTAGCAGTCAACAGTCAAGAGACAATACCGAAAGCGCATTTGAAAATTCGTTTTATGGCTCGGTTCCCGCCAATAATCCGCCCGTATACTTTGAACTGTTGACACAAACTATGTATTGGCGTGGGAATGAATATAGTTGACTATTGCCTGAGGCCATCCTCCGATACATTCTTAATTAAAGAGTATTGTTTGAACACCTTTCATTAGATTATCAGGTGGGAGAATAGACTAGAATCCTCTTTCCTGGTAAGATGGTTTACCGTCCTAGACAGATTCGAAGTGCCTGGACAACTACATGAAGGTGTGATTTGGCGGCAAACCTGTGAACGCATGTTCTTATGACTGGGTTTCTATACCTAGATCGATCTAAAAGGATCCATCTTCAAGGGGTTTCTCGCAAAATTGTTTTCAAATTAAGCAGCTAAATTCTCTGGCATGTCTACTAAAGTTGCTAAGATAATTAATTACCCTCTAGCAGCTTCAGTAGGCGTGACAGATATCTAAGCCGCTTAAGTTGATGGCAATTTGGAGAGAATCCCCTTGAAGACAGATCGATCTACAGTTAGTACGATAGGGTCTAGGAATCTATCATCAATCTGGTCATACACTGTAAATATTTGATGATTTGCCATTTGGGGAAGAACTGTCGTTGATGTTTTAGAAATGTCCAGTTCAAATAAAGATTTAAGGAATTCGTATAAACCAGACGCATCGGATATCATTACTCAAATCTGAATAAATTATGCATGCTATAAAGCACTTTCATACATTCAATTAATGTTTATAACGTTATCTTTCTTCTATTTAGCTTTCTTAAATACTGGTACTGTAGGTAGAAAAGCTAAGCAGGTGTTTGCAAACTATCCTACTATTATCAGCAATGATCGGCAAACTGCACAGAAAATCAAATACGACAAACAAAAGTGGAGAAAATGACATGATGAACGAAGCTGACCAAATATGCCCGTGGCCTATCGTGCACATACTTAAAGCCACTTGTATACAAGTTTGCAGTAACTAACAGAAACAGAATCAAAGAAGCAATTAAATTAAAAGGGAGCGACAAGACATGACGTGCCTTAAAATAAATAAATAAGAAAAGGATAAAAATGCTGCTTGGAAAGAACCCGCCTAAAGAGCGATTGCAAGAAATGTGCATGACAACATGGCCTTCAAGATGAATATTTCTTTGATTTTGAGTTTGCAACCCAACAAATTGAAAGCATTTTTGTATTGGATAAAAATGCCTAGAAATCCAGGCAAATGCATAATCCTGAGCTCAAATCTTGTATACACTAGTGATACCCACATTTCCAGGTAATTTTTCCCAAAGCTAATTTATCTACGCACGTTTTAAATTTTCTGTGAATTATAAAGAATAATTTTGAGTTATTAATGGATAAAGTTTCAAGATTTTTTTGTTTCATCCGTTGGTAGAATTTCTATCCATCATCTCGATGATCATTTTAAATCTATGTGCACATGTATGTCAGCTTTTGATATTTAAACAAGAAAGGAATACAATGATTCTTATTGAAACATGCACCCAAGACAAATTTCTACAAACAGATTTAAATACCCCTTTAAGATCATTCCTCGTATTCAGATGGATAAGAAAAATATTTATGAGCCTATGGTCAATTTCTCTTTTTTCATAACGTATTGATAAATAATACTGATGTAGCCAATGAACCAAAACTAGCATACAAAATTAATTAAAGAAACAGCTTGGTGGTTATTGACATATTCCATTTAATAAGTAGCTTTCATCCACAGATCATATGAAAAACAATACATGAATTTTCCAACATATAATACTGGACCTCCTATATGTGTTGTATTTAGTTGTTGTATTATCTTTAAATTTTCTGCAAAGACAATAGTGACAAAATAATTTTTATTAAAAAGTACAGAAACTGTAAAAGTTAATGACTTTAAGCAATTCGTGAAATTTATGTAAGTACACACAAACTGTACAATTTTAAATCTGCTAAAATTAAAAAAAAACAACAAAATAACCAAAACTTTTATTTGGATCTTCAATGAATGTCTGTGCCTTAATTCACACAAGAATATACCAGATAACTGGCATATGTGGCACGGTTTCACATGCGTCACATACGAACATCATATACAAAAGAAATGTATAAATATATACAAACAAATAGAATCCACAGTGGGTGGCAATGAAGCAAATATAAGAAAACTAAACCCCATTAATGTTTTCAATGAAAAAATGACCTGTACATTTACACATACCTTGATAACAAAAAGACAGCTGAAATAATAATGGCAAATGTGAACCTGTGACCCAGACAAAAAAGGGGAATTCATTGCACAGATGAAATATGCAAAAGCACCTGTTGCAAGGCTCAGTAGAATCCTACATTTCCATGTACTTGTGATAAAGTTTGCCAATTGAGAAGGAAGACAAATTGAAAGGCGCAGATTAGAGAGACTGCAACAAACATTGTGCTGCTATCATGGACAATCCAGTTGGCATGAAGTCTTTTATTTAATCAAATTGACAAATAGAGTATCTAATTACTGTGGTTTTTGATGCATGGCTTAGTTTCTATTGCAAATAGAGTACAATGTTGTACATTTACTCAGGATTTATCCACAAAAGAAGATCTTCACAGATGTTCGGCATCTGATCTTAATCCATTCTCTCTTGATATAAGGTACTCATGTACATATATGTTTAGTCATTGTAACATGAGGAAAAAATTTATGAATAATATTACTACAGTTTTCATATGATTAAAGTAAAATGTTGGTCTTAAACTGATTTAATGTTTTTTTTAAAACCTGTCCCTAGCTAAAGGCAACTGCATTCTTGAACCAAGATGATTATATTCGCTCTAGATATCTGGTGAAAACGGATAAGTCAATCTGTCAGTACAATTCAAATATAATTAAGTTATTTTTAATTTGAATATTTAGCGTATGAAGATGTAATTAACTAAAAAGTGTTATATAGTATATTATCTCTTATGTGTGAGTGTGTGAGCGAGTGTCTGTTTGGTTGTTTTTGTATTGTCATGTATTCGTGATGTATTGTGTCAATAAAAAAAAAATTTATTCGCTCTATCTCATGATCTGCACCCCCCCCACGTGAACATCCTACTCACCCATTAACATCTTTATTTCCACAAACAATAACTTGAAAAGTCTAAAGTCTATTTTTTTTAATTAAGTGGAAAAAACTTTTTACTAGTTTCACTTTATAAGTTAGAATACACTATAATTTTTTTTAATGTGCTCTTTTAAAGAAACCTATATTTATTTTAAAAAAACCTACAGCAATGCTTATCTTCTGCTCCACCCACAAAACTTTGCGAGGCAGATTATATTTTCAAATACAATATCCTGTGCACATATAACATTTCTTTAATGTCACATTACATCAGTATGTAGAAATACAATTGTGACCAATATTACAACTGTAACATAGCTGGTTGAGGCTCAGAGTTAATATATTCTTGTGTGCTTTGAGCTTAGAGATCTCATCCATGATGAAAAACAACACATAGGACACAACCAAGTTAATCTTAAACAACACTTAATTAGAGACTTTACCCTAAAACATATTTTAATATTACAAAATAATGGAATAACACACATATTCAGAGGACCCTCTCAGGGTCTTCTCCTTTTTAGAAGAGCTGTGCACTTTTTTTAACACAGTGACTCTGAGACTAAATATATCCTTATATGCTTAAAGCATAGAGATAGCACAGTAGTTCTCATCTACGATGAAATACAACACAAAGGACAAATCTATACCAACACATATTTAGATACTTAACCCTAAATCATATATAACAAAATTAACTTTAAGTTATTATCATTATATTGATATGTACAGAGAGCAAAAATATGAACACCTTAGGCCTGTGCAATATTAAAAAAATTTTTTTGGGACTATGGGTTATATTTATATATATTTTCATTAAATCATACAAAGTGAATTTTGTTGTTCAATGTGCTATAGATTACTGTCTTTGCCATTAATTTATACATGCTACATAAATAATTCACGTGGAGCATTTACATTTTTGCTCTCTCTCTTTGTTCAAATATATTTATCTCTCCGTTTATATATATTTACCTCTCTGTTTATATATATATATATATATAAATAAATATAAATAAATTTCAGTAAAATTAAAGACAACCATACACCATGGTTTTGTATTTTGTACATACACCAGACAAATACATATCATTTTAATGAAAGGCATTCCAAAACATTTTACATGTGTAATTATAATTTATTTTATGGCACATTCCATATAAAATCTCCATTCACTTCACAGAATATCTAGAATTATTAAAAACATTGATGATAAAACAACAAAGATAAAACAATAAAATAACAATAATAATAAATAAAAAAACAGTCAGCAGTGTTACTCAGTTAAAAATATTGTTTCTCAAATATTCATAATTTGTAAACATCATTAAAAATATGTTTTCTGTAAAGTTTTAAAGAAGGCAATATCTTTGGCAACAAGAATATGTATGAACCCTACCTGTTATCAACAGATGTACCAGTATATCCTCTCAACTTCTTTCCAAAATAAGTTACTTATTGATGAAAGTTAAGATGATATGCAAATAAATTTATTACTCTATTTGTGAACCAAAAAGAAAGATACATTCATTATCAGTATCAGTAAAAATAATTGAGAAAAAAATTTGTGTCCTCATTGAATTTGCTTTGTCAAGATATTTTCCTCACTCGGTACTATAATACTGAATATATAAATTCCATGTCTGTAGCCTCCAGCAGCAGAAACACAACCCTTACTAAGCTTTCATTTTATGTGTCACCAATATTTTTCCTCACTTTCCAGGGGTGGATCCAGATATTTTTCTGACAGTCTTCCAATTTATCTTTGTCGATCCATCTCCATTTTGGCCCGTCATCCATCAGAAAAAAATTAGATGCTCATCAATGGAAACTTGAAAAATTTTGATCGTCTTCTGGAAGACAGCTTCCAGCTGTCCCTGCTTTCACAGGTCAAGTTGAGGTTTATCTTTAAATGTGATGGTTGGCTTTGACCCATGAAGCTCAAATATTAAAATCTACAATAAAAATTGACACAAACTTAGACAACAAGGAGTGCTACATAATATAGTGCTACGAGTAGATAAAGTACTACCAATATACTCTCGCTGAATGCAATCAGTTTAACACACGTCCTTTTGTTTCCAACATACTCGTATAATCGCCAGCTTTTCTGTATTCTATTCAATGCCATAAGGGGGCGTGTTGATCTGTTAATGTAATTGCATTCAGCAAAAGTCCCTGTACAGTAGTTTTGAACTCGAATGATCATCTCACTGAGAATGGGCCCTACCTCATTATTTCCTGTTCTGAGTAGAGGTCCAGGCAGGTACAGGGTACGCTGGGGTCCTATCTCCCAGTATCTGCCCAGGTTAAACCCATTCACAAATACCACTCCTTTCTTCCAGCCCTGGAGTATAAATATTGTATTTTTACATACTTCTGCAATATGTGATTTCAATAAAATATATTGGTGATTTTAATATTAACCTGACATTACGTCCTTGCTTCCATTTACTGTTACCGTTTGAATATCATCAAAGTAATTTCAAATTAGTTTTTCATGCGGTAAGTCCTCCGAAATTTTCTCCAAAATTCTGAAAAAGGTTCTATTATACAGGCCTAAAGCCAGCAATTTCAAAGAGAGGTTCATTTCTTCCTGAAAAAGTGCATTTTTGTACCCCCTAAGTTGACCAAACTTGAGGAATAGCAAATTTTGATTACATGGACCTTTTCCAGCCAAATGGGGTTTTCATTCAAGCCCCCTTGCCAAGGAGCTCGAGGATACATACTTTCATGTCAATAAAGGTATCACAGGGAGGATGTTTCGTGACTGTCAACCTGGTGTAGAACATCCCGGGAGTTCCAACGACATCCTTGTAGGGGGACCAGTCTCCAGATGACAACATACTGCAGATGTAATGAAACACATATTAAACACATCTACCAAGTTCATTATGACAAAATCCCATTCATACCAGAACTAGACTAAATATTGTTTAGTTGACTGTGAAACTTGAAAACTATTCTTCTATGTCTCCCTCCAGTTCCAAGTCTAGACAAATGACACTTAAATTCATTCTTAAGTTTGCTTTAAAATAACAAAATTTATATAATGATTCTTTAGTGAGCCTCTGAGAAAATGCATAAATTATTACTGGGTATAAATTTTATAACAGCCCAGGGAGTCAGATTTAAATTGTGTCACCCCATACATGTATAAGAATGAAAGTAGGTATGCAGTGGTGTTTTGAGTTATAGATACTACTACAACATTGGTGGGCAAGACATGATAGCCACATAGGCTTTATATACATACTGGTATATATACATGTATACATGTACCTATAATGTATATCAGGGGCGGATTTAGGCGGTCTTCTGGGTCTTCCGGAAGACGGTCAGATTTTCAAGTTTACATTGACGGATATTTAATTTTTCTGTTGGAAGACGGTCAAAATTGGAGGATGAATCAACAAAGATAATTTGGGAGACTGTCAGTAAAAAGCTCTGGATCTGCCCCTGTATATATATACTTTCCTGAATCATAATGTATCTATATATGTAAAACTCTCTGACAACAGGGTGCCTAGTACACTAGGACTCCGTTCACATGGAAAGTCTATTTTCTAAAAATCTATTTTCTATTCATGGTATCTTGTAATCACGGTCCCTGTGCCCTGAATATCCCGCGACGTAATTACTGGAGGCGCGAGCCAGTTGCTTCCAAAGCTGTAATTAATTCTCGGGATATTCAGGGCACAGGGACCGTGATTACAAGATACCGCGAATAGAAAATAGATTTTTAGAAAATAGACTTTCCATGTGAACGAAGCCTAGAAGTCTTTTACAAAATTATTGTATTGGACCCTGTGGGAACCGAGATGCTCAACAGGAAAGCATTCCTTAACAGACATACTCTTTGACATTTTTTTTTTTGGGGGGGGAGGAGGATTTCACACCTTTGGGTTGAGTATAGTGCACATCCCTGTCTTTGTCAAGCAGGAGTGATTACTGAGTGAATACACTCATTGCCACAATTTCAGGGGCAGGTAGTTTCAAAATCACAATTGAGTTTATTGGGTGAGTTTCATATCCTTTTTTATTGTAATTTTGTGTCTTATTTTATAATAAATTTTGTATGCTATTTTATTAGAATGTATCTTATTTTATACCTTGTTAGGAATGGTTTCCTGAACTCCAGTGGATAGTGATCCCAGTCTATCAGCACTGCTTTATCCAAGTAAACTGTGCTTGTTATACCTGGAATGAAATGAAGTGATTGTCTCTGAAAATTTCACAAAATGGGCAAAACATATTTGTGGCAGATGTCTAAAAAGATGCAGACATGGTGGGCATAGTGGAACTTATTTCATGTGGGCATGTATGTCACACTATTGTGGCTTACAGCACATCTGCCATAGTATAAACATCACCTGGCCCATTGCCATCAATTTCAAAGTGGGGAAGGGGGGTCCTTTTCTGAAAAAGAGGCCTTTTATCAAGAAACTTCCGTGTACTTGCCATGGACCAAATTGTACTGAGAACAAACCTTTCCCTGCAAAAAAGGACAGTTCGCTCAAACTCCCGTGGCTCCAGGGCTGACCAAGATGAAACAGGTGCACCACTGGACACCTAGTTGTATTTGACATCTGGGCCGGTATTCTCGAAGCTATCAAATATGATTTTTTCATCGAATCTTAATCGAATCCAAAAAATCGGTATTCTCAAAGCTATCAAAAATTTTTTCATCGAAATCGATTCGAAGACGAAAAAATTTGACATCAAAAACGTTTGAGAATACTGCCCCTGCTCATGACTCACAGCAGTTCATAGCTAGGACATATACCTCATCAATGTATGGTTTATACATTATAGAAACATGTCACACTTTTCATACACTGTACTAGTACCAGTACATGTTGGTGCACATAAGATCCAAATTACTTCCATTATTTTACAGTTATTACTTATATTAAATTTTATCATTCAATCATACCATATCAAATAAATTACTGGTAAAAACTCTCTGTTATTACATATGAACTGAGCATCGGTGGAGCATGGATTCCCAGTAACATACATACACCACTTCTACTAGTTTCTTATACAACTCAAATAAATTCAACATGTCAAGGGATAAACTGAATAAATTACTAGATCAGTCATAAAAGAGATTCAGACTGCTCCTTTCTTTAAATTTTTTGGTCAGAAATTTTAACCTACTGACCTACATGTACTTTTCTGCCTCATTGATGTACAGCACAGAATGCTAGCAGAAATATCTGTTCAAATATCGATCGTCTTTCGGGTAACATTAAACAATGCCTTTTGTTATTCTCTTAGTTATACTTCTTGAAACTGTATGCTGGCATTTGGTCGGCTTTTGTGGCAAAAAAAAACTGACTTCATATGCATCTTTAAGGTGAAAAAACTCATGTTAGAATACTGTACCTTTCCTTTGACTCTCAAATGGTACTTTTGTTCCATTATAATATCCCATGCTATTGAGTCTGCCCATATTTTCAACTAATACATCTAAAACATAAGTTGTCTGAAAATATGCACGAGGAAAAAAAATTAAAAAATTATCATTTCCCTTGAAATGATTAACCAGAAATATTTCAACTGTGAAATTTTGCTCTTTTTTTAACAAAAGATTGAAACTCAAATATTACAAGTAATAACAGCAAAAGACTATAAAGTGAACTGAATAAAATAAAAAAATATTGAACAAGTTAATGAATGATCAAACAAACAAAAACTTAATAATCTAACCATGCATAAGTTTACAAGTCTGGACTGTGATATACATCACATGACCACAGCTGACTGTATTAATATGGTTACAAATTATTAATCATAATGCATGGTTATGTTCCCGAAGAATTATGACAGGGGCGGATTTAAGCCGTCTTCTGGGTCTTCCAGAAGACGGTCAGATTTTAAAGTTTACATTGATGGGTATCTAATATTTTCTGTCAGAAGATGGTCAAAAATGGAGGATGGATTAACAAAGATAATTTGGAAGACTGTCAGAAAATATCTCTGGATCAGCCCCTGTATGAATAGATATACTTGCGTTAATGTGTTTTTAGTCGAGCACAAGATACCCATTTGTTCAGCTGTACATATGAAGTATATTCAATCACTCATTACATTACACTCAATGGCTCGCTCTGGCTACAGCACTGAATAAACCATTTGCATTTGGTTTTAGTTTCTGTAACATGTTACAATATTCTTTGACACTCCAATTATTCCAGTCACCTTGTTCTGTGGCTTATTTGGCCCCTTTATCGCCACCACCATGTCTTTCTTGTTCAAGTTAAAAGTGGCAATCTCTGTCCCATTCAGAAGGACCTAAAAGATGACATAGAGGGATGGAATAAACCAAAAAATCATCACAGCTTTTAACATTCCCAATTTACAAAATTACCAGTTTATACTAGCTTCTCTCTTAAAGAATACAAGAATTTATATTCTAAATATGTATTAGAATTCATGTTAAATGCTTGAAACATTTTCAAGTATGGCAAAATTTGCATCACATGGGAAAATTCAAGTAAAATCAGGTTTTCATGCCAATTTATATCAAATTATATTATATAAAACTGATGAGAAATATTTTGCTTAACTGCTATAGTTTGTGTGGCAAATAATTCACCTTGCAAAATAAAACAAAAGAATTTCCCCCCAGAAAGAGCACAAGTGCTATCAATGAATATCATAGATTTTGACATATAGATAAAGTAAAATTTAAGCACATCATTTTGATAAATATTATAATTTTTATCATTCATTTGTACTTAAAAATACCTCAACTTGGCAAAAACTATATATGCGGTCACTTACCACAGCCCTATCTCTGACAGTGTCAGAAAATTTTAGTTTTCCACCTTTGGTGATTTCTGTCCTGTACAAAATAAACCCATAGCCTTGTCCTCCACCATTGTTAACCTGACCGAGAAACTCCATGGGGACTGCTTCTATGCCATATATAGCCTGCAAATGACAGGGGTTAAACTGGAGTTGTCATCACAGCAACTTTTACTCAATGCCAAATTTCACATTCTGTTATTTTAGTAATGCACACCAAATAAATAAATAAATATAAAATAAAGTAAATAGAATTAATCTAGAGTTCACTGTGGGCAACTTAAGGAAAACCATAAATTAAGATTAATATGAAAGCCGAAAAAGTGCAAAATACCTTCATTCGTTTTACCATGTCATCCAAAAGTAAATATTTTTCAATTTCAAGAGTACCTGCAAAAGAAGAAAAAACATACTAGTACCTAGCAAACAACCAACAAGCCCCTGATGAAGTACTTGTATAAACCTCTTTTCATACTGTGCCCACGTGATTTTTTTTTTTTTTTGCATCATGGTAACTAGTCCTTCATGTGTGACAATAGAGAGTTTCCATTGCCGGTGAGATACGCAGGCTAGATTAATACGTCATCGGTTTGTGCGCACTTGTGACGTTCACCGCATTCATATACCGTTATCCCATCTAGTCTGCGGAATACAAGCGCTCCTATCTAGCCAGTGCGGAAGATTATTGAAAATAGTTATTAAAGGTTGTGTTTGCTAATTTATATGACTTATATACTTTTTTACAAAAGTTCAAGTGTACGTTCATGCAAATTTCGACTTTTTAACAGAGAGGAGCCGCTAGTTTTGGTTTATCAGGCACGTACAGGTAGTCGGGGGTTGATCGTCGGGTTCTTACGAACCGCCATTTTTGTCGGGAAAAATTGCACTTTTGGGTAATATTTGTCTCCTTTTTCATAAAAAAGAATCCCCCCCTTGGAAAAAGATGGCTACGGGGCCGTATATTGTTATTATTATATTGGAATGAGCGCCAGCATTCCGGGACATTACCGGAACGAGATGAGAGAAGCGCGTTACTGGATACATTAGCACATACGTAACAATCTAGCCGTCGTATCCCAACTGCACCGGAAACTCTCTAATGCTACCAGGGTTTAATTCCCTTTCACGAGTTTGCTTTCAACTATTTGGACCAATCAAAATTAATCCCATTAACTGACCATGTCAAGTGTGTGTGTGTGTGTGTGCATGCGTGCGTGCGTGCGTGCGTGCGTGCGTGCATGCATGTGTGCCAAGGTGACTCTTTTACATACTAGCCAGGCCAATAGCTCAAAATGAAGCATAACAAAAGTGTACAGCACGCTGTGATAGAGGGCGCCAGTCACAAGATGCCCCACTTACCATATTTCTCCACAGGGCGGGCAGGTGGTATGGGTGGTAAGGTGGAAGACACTGGGAATAATAAAAGTTGAAAATGTTTTAAGTTTGCTAAACAAGAAGTATTACTTATAAAATACATGTATACACAGTATAAAATCTTTTATTATTTTTCTTTTTATACTCTAAATGCATGTTTCACTTATCTTTTAATTTTAAAAATATCGTACTTTTTCTTGTTAGTTTTACTGTACAATATGTCTTATAACTGGTGCAGCCAACAACATTTCTTATAACTTTTATCAAATTTTACAGCACTTAAAACATTCCTTACTTGGCACAATGCAATTTTAAATGGAATATGTCATTAATTTGTAATTATAACTTTAAAATTTTACCCAGCAAATACACATCTATTTCTTTCTCTGACACATACTGTACACGTAACTTATGTAGATAAACACTGGAATAGCAGAATTCCTTATTATATGAACACTTTCCACAAAAAATCTGATTCAAATATTTTAAGGAAAAAAATATAAAAATTGTGCTGCTTCGTTTACCTACCTGTAATTTTTCATTTTTTAAACTTTTTCTCACCTGATTCTGGGACGTTTTTGAAAAGTGTTTCTATAATCTTAGTGAACTTAGTGTTGGCTTCACCCTGTTCATTAACTGGTGCATCATAATCTAAAATACATGAAGTATGTTGATGAGAATTGGTTAAGTCTTCAATGCATGTATGGCCATTAATTCACTTTTCATCATTTGGTTTTAATAAAATCAAAGTTATACAGTAGAAAAACACACAGTCTTCCACGTTGATGATGACAGGGTGCATATAAAAAACATACAGAGTGAAAAAAATTCACAAACAGTTCCCTTGGGAGAAAAAATTCTAATTAGTACATTTTTCTGTACTCCACTGTATGAAATCTTTCAATGTCCTATTTTCAATTTTCTATCATAATTGCTTCTATGCTTATCCAAAATGGAGACATCAAAGAATATGATTTGACTGATATGAGTGTTTATTAATTGAAAAAGGTGTGTTAGAAAACTTAAGGACCAGGTCACAATGAATTAATTGACCTAGCTACTGCACACTAACTTCCCAGGGACTCGCGCTGAGTGCAATCAGAAAAAAGAGAGCGACACATTTCATTTTGTTCCCAACATACCGTTACATAATGGTCTGCTTTTCTGAATATACTAGTGGTACAGTTAACTCTTGGAGGAGGCATGTTAATCTGATTGCATTCAGCAAGAGTTCCTATATATATAGAGTAAGAATGCAGTAGCTTGGTCAATAAATTCATAAGGACAGGCCCTAAAAGATGTGATCACCTTACCATAACTTGTGACTGTTGCAACATAGCTGGGGTAGTAAGCACCATTCATAAAGCCAAAGTTGGTTCCCCCATGAAACATGTAGAAATTCACAGATGATCCAGACTTCAAGATAAATGACAACACTGCCTCCATTTCTGTAAACAGATAGATCAATTTATGGCACTGATAATAAATATGAGTAAAGGTATGCAGACTGGCATTTTTAAACAATGACCTATCAATATAGTGACTTTGCATGATTTTACATTGCCAGCTACAGTGAACCTTGGGATATTAGAGAAAAAGTTACTTTTTGTGTGCTTAAATATATATAATGAATAAAAACTGTTTAATTTTGTTTTTAATGATTTCTGTTGTTACCAAATACTGGTCCCAGTCCAAATACAGAAACTAGAAATTTGGCAAGTTTTAATTTTTTAAACAATAATAACATGAACTTTATTGTTATCACATAGCATGAAATTGTGCACAGTGTACAATTGGAACCCCAATTTAGACAACTGACACCATTCAGGTATTTCAAACACATAAGCACTGTACACAAACAAACCCATACGACCATATTTGCAGATGTGAAAACATGGACTGGACAACTACAGACAGACAGATGGACAGACACACAGACACCCAGTTAGACATTACCTTCATCTTTCATAGTGTTATGTTTGCTTCCCCATACATCATACCATCCCGGCCAGAACTCCATGGTAACCAATGGCCATTCAGGGCTCAAAGCAGCAATATTCTTAAATGCTAAGTCTCCTCTACTAATTGTGTTAAAGGTCGCAGTGGGTAAAACTGTAAATAAGAAATCAAATTTAATTTTAAATATCTACAGTGTATCAAGTCACCTTGCTGACATTTTAAAACATTTTTATAATGTTCATTGTCTGCCACAATGATACCACTGATAAATCAATTTTATATTCATGAAGAATTATTCATAGATTATATTTGTAATTCATAGCACTATTGAAGTGATATTGTATTTAGAGAAAACAATATTCTTAAACTTCATGCTATTTACCACCAGCATAAGATTATCACCTACTAAGGGGGCATTCACAATGAAGCTATCGTATTAGGTAGATCAATCCAACTCCGTGGAGACTCTTGCTGAATGCAATCAGATTAACTGAATGACATGCCTACTCTAGCAGCACACCAAGGTTAATCCACCCTTAACTGCTCAAGAAGGCATATCGTACAGTTAATAAAGTATGAAACAGGCCATTCAGAATGAGAAGAGCCGAGTGCTAGCTAGGGGACAACCTAAATATGACGGACCTACATGAAAGGAAGTCCGCTTAATCCTGAAATGGTCACACGCCTCCCCACATGTCGTCCCTCAACCGGTTAAATCGAGCCGAGATTTAATTACTGTGCCCCTGCAGGGACGACGCATGGGGAGGCATGTGAGAGGCGGAGAGACCATTACAGGATTAAGCAGTCTTCCTTTCATGTAGGTCCGCCATATTTAGGTCATGGCCTAGCTAGCACTCGGCTCTTCTCATTCTGAATGGGGCCACTGTGGCCTATTAAAAACATTACCTCCAGGCAGACTTCCCTTCTCTAAATGTTCTGCTGGGTCAGCAGTTAACATTAGTTCTTCCACACCATACTTCAGCAAGGACTGAAACAGAGAGGGCAATAATTACTATATCATATAATATAAATGAAAGTCTTTTTAATTATTGACATTTGACTTAATATCAAAGGCATATAATCTAAAGTTTCAAGATGCAAACTACAGTTAAATGAAACTTTATAGACAATACAAAGTGGAAACGGAACACTTTTATAAAACTTACGTAAAGACTGAATATTTGATTACAAATATATATAATCATATGTATGTACAAAATATATCAATATATTATGTAATATTAAAAATCAGAATATGAAAATCATTACCTTAAAAAGTACAGTTTCATGCACTCTCAAAAACATTTTATATTAAGAAGGTTGCTGTTATCTTTATAATCTTGTAAAGTGAATAACATTACTTTATTTTACAATTATTCTATTTATTCCATATTTGCCATAATTAACATATTCTTTGTGAAAACTGATTTACAAACTTCAGATTTCATGATTCTGTGACAGTCTAACTACAAATACTTTGTTCTATGTAAATTAGTTTGAGAACAAAGCTTCACATTACATCTTTGAGTGCCTCCAAGTACTTTTTGTCCTGTTCATATGCGCCATACTCATTTTCTATTTGGAATGCAATAATTGGTCCACCTCTGCTATACTAGAAAACAAAGAAAAATATCACTGTCATTTATATGTGCCATTCTCATGTCCTACACCCCATTTCCATAGATTAGATCGACCTACTTTAGATTGACCTAACTCCCTGGGGGTTCACGCTAAATAGCTGTCAGCCGGGCGGACACGAAAGTTAATCACCTCTTACAGCTTGTAGTAGGCGGGGACGGACACTTAACGGGGATTATCTGACAGTAATCTAGTGAGACTCCCCGCGGTGATAGATCGATCTAAAGTTGTGGGAATAGACCCCTAGATTTCACAATGTCACAAATGCTTGAATGTAATGAGTGAAATTTAAGTGTGAAAATTCGAATCCTGTAGACTCATAATTTGACCGACTTATACGGATATCTCCTAACTTCCACTGACAGTCTGCTGTTCACCCTCCCCTGCATCATCCACCCCCTTCAGCTTCAGCCTTTTCCCAAATAATCAACATTTTTACATTGCCTCTGTACATATACCAGCATTTACAGCAGTGTAAGGAAGCTGAAACCAGGTTCATATTTTCTTTACTTTTTTTTCAGTGGTCTGAATTACTTGCAGGTGTTCAAAGGAGGCAGAGATTTATAAAAATTATGTATTACATAAAAAAATATTGTGGATTTTTTTACAATTTCTATGCATAATATGGTAGAGATTCCATCTATAGAAATTCTTATAGCCAATGAAAAAAGATGAACCATGTCCATCTTCTAATTATGTTTAACCTCTTACATGGATCACCACTCTGCCCATTACCTGTAGCCCTGCTACCAGTGGTATCAGCTCTGAGAAGTAGTTGTCTACAGCCTTCAGGAATGGAGGGTACGTACTGCGGACCTTCATACTGGGGTCATTGAGGAGCCAGCTGGAATAAGACACACAGCTACATGTATAGAGTCTATACTGATATAATAATATATTAAATTATATAATGAATTGGTGGTTATAAGAGCAGGCACATAATGTATATCCCACTTGAGCATGCCACCAAACCCCCACTACCACCATTTTATCTGGAAATCTCAGTAAACCCACCANCCTGGGAATGCCACCAAACTCCCACACCCCCCACAGATAGTACACCCACCTGGGCATGCCACCAAACTCCCACTCACCACAGATAGTACACCCACCTGGGAATGCCACCAAACTCCCACACCCCCCACAGATAGTACACCCACCTGGGCATGCCACCAAACTCCCACTCACCACAGATAGTACACCCACCTGGGAATGCCACCAAACTCCCACACCCCCCACAGATAGTACACCCACCTGGGCATGCCACCAAACTCCCACTCACCACAGATAGTACACCCACCTGGGAATGCCACCAAACTCCCACACCCCCCACAGATAGTACACCCACCTGGGCATGCCACCAAACTCCCACTCACCACAGATAGTACACCCACCTGGGAATGCCACCAAACTCCCACACCCCCCACAGATAGTACACCCACCTGGGCATGCCACCAAACTCCCACTCACCACAGATAGTACACCCACCTGGGAATGCCACCAAACTCCCACACCCCCCACAGATAGTACACCCACCTGGGCATGCCACCAAACTCCCACTCACCACAGATAGTACACCCACCTGGGAATGCCACCAAACTCCCACACCCCCCACAGATAGTACACCCACCTGGGCATGCCACCAAATTCCCACTCCGCACAGATGTACGGGCCAGGTCTCAGCACCACATAGAGACCAACTTCTTGGGCCAGCTGCAAATATTGTCTTCAACATGAAAAAGACAAAGATATAAAATGCATATCTGTAAATTACATGAGTAGTTCCAGATTTTGATTTTAGTTGTTGTGTATGACTACGTGGAGCTGTCATAAAACTAAAAAATTAAAAATTAAAGAATGTGTAAATAAACTTAAAACTGGGTTTTTACATTATTTGACAATTCTTTATATTTGTTGAAAGAATGGATTCAGTTTATGAGTTTGATGTGATCATGTCTATCATTAATTTTGTGTTCTAATTGTTATTGATTGAAACTTTAAGATCTATTTGTCTAAATCAAGGTATTCTTTCACCTCTGCATTAGGACTCATGCACAGCAGTCTGTGGCAACATTTTTATGCGGTAATTACTCAATCTTTTCAGTTGGGGGGGGGGGATTTTAAAGATACTGTAGTTTTGAAGTCCTAAATTCTTGAAATTAGAAAATTCTGCTTGCATGGTATCAACAAAACTGAAAAGCAATCTACCTCGTATTTTTATTCTATAAAGTAAAAGCACCACAAATGCTACACAAAAATATATCTTTAATGATTCCAAAATAATGTATCTGAAAGATTAATAACTTTTCCCCATTGAAAAGATTGAATCATTACCATGCTGGCTGGTATATATATACCAGTTCTTGTTATTCTATACTCACACGATGTCTAGCAGGCCATCCTTGAAATTAAATTTCCCTTTAATTTCTTCATGTAAATTCCATGGTACATACCTAAATCAAATGGAGCCAAGGGGTGCAAAGATCAGTTTTTAATTCAACTTCTTTGTACAGGACTATTAATTATGAATTCCAGTATAAGTTTTGGGTGGAGGACTGCTAGTTAACTTTGGGATCCGATGTCAGGTATAATGATATTCAATTGATCACATGTAAACTTTTTATATATATTTTCAAGCTACATATCTTTGATTATTATCATAGATATTTTGAAATTGAGATAATTTATAAAGAAATAGTATAAATAAGCAAAAATAGTAAATAACAGTTTTGATGTAAGCATTGATTTCTTGTCAAACAAGATATAGCAGAAGAATATGAGTTGTAAAAAATAGTTTTTCTTTACAGCTTGTGATGTGGTAACATTTTAAAAATCCTCCACAACACAGGGGGATGGGGAACAAACAACTTTGACATTCTAAATAGGCAGTTATATTGTTTTGCAGGCAACAATATCTGGGTCAGATCCGTGTGCTACTCTGCAAACAAAAGAAGCTGCAAGATGGCGTGACCTGATCTGACGGGAGGTCATTTCAGTCCACGTTCTACAACTCTCCTGATGGATATTAAATCTATTAAATCTATTGATCCAACTACTTAAACACACTAAAGTACTAGTAGTACAATCAGGGAGTTATATCTTATTTATAATAGAAATAATTCTCTGGTACAATGCAGTTGTGATATTGAAATGATAAAAAAAAATGTAAAGCGTTTTCAAACGATTTCCTATCGTTATACTAAAGGTTTCATTTCAGGTCAGTTTACCTGCCTAATTAACACCTATCAACCCTTCCCATCTCCCCTTCTAATTTATATACAGGTGTAACAGGAATGGCAGTCCTAGGAATGGAAGTCCAGGCTCTTATATGATTAGTACAAGTTACACCTGTAATGTTAGTTGGAGTACTGTGGTTGGTATATGGGACGAATGTCACCTGTACAAAGTAATGGGAAGCGGACTATGGTTCCTAGCGGACATCCATTCCTGGTACACCTTGTACACAGTGTACTCACGTTGAAACAGTGTTAAGGCCCGCAGCTTTCACCATTAACAAGCTATGTTTCCAGTATTCTGGTACGACCCGAAAATAATGCACTTCGCCACTCAGCAGTTTGAAAGGTTCGCCATCTAAATACAGCGTCTTGTCGTGAGCACGCAGACCCAAGGGACTGCGCTTGATTCTAAAATATGGCCTCAGCACGTACCAGAGACCAAGCACTATGAGCGTACATATTACGATCCGCCTCAAAGGCAACCCATATGCGTGTAAAACGAAAGTCCTCTTAGGTCTGCGTCTTGTCCACATTTCTTCTTGTGACTTTTCTTCTGTTTGCAACATGAGAAAGGTCCTATATTTCCATTCCACTAGATGTACATTGTGAGTTGGAAATAGTTGTTTATAGCATGCTCAATCAAGTCACACTCTTACAGTCGGTGTTTCCGGTGTGACAGGTGAGAGAGGTGTGTGTGTGTGTGAGGGGGGGGGGGGGGGCGGCNCTGTTCTGGAACTCATGCACAAATGCTACTCCTTGCCCTTTTGGCGGTGACAAGCCTAGAAATATTGGTTATTAAATAACAGCAGATTTTTTTCTATAGCAAGTGAGAAATAACACTTTATTGGACTCGTTACTTTTTAACTATCAAATATGAATCAGTACCCAAAGACTTGACTTTACTACAGTTCTTTCACGGTATATGCTTGTCAGTAACTCCTTTTATGAGGCCAGTGAGACAGGAATGGTGGTCCTAGGAATGGAAGTCCGGAGTCCGATATGATCAGTACAGCTAGGTTAGGGTTAGTTGGAGCATAAGAGTTTAGTATATGGGACAAATGTCACCTGTACAAAGTGTTGGAGAACGGACAACAGTTCCTAGCGGACTACCTGTCACACCTGTTTACTTTTATCCAAAACGAGGCTCCTCGCGGTCCCTGCAGGTAATTTACAAATGTGCCAAAAAGCACGGTCGTTAAAGGCAAGCATACCCTTGGACAGATACGTGTGACAACTGTTTAATGACATTTAATTAGGAATTTAGCACAGGAAAATGACCATCAAAGTGATTTTCTAGCGTCAATTGCGACTTTATCGATCTTTATCAGCGAGCAACTACAGTACTGTACTCAAGTAGGCCTACCTGATTCATATTCCATTATAGTTAACGTAAAATCGATCGTTTGGAAACCAGCGAGTAAATAGATATTTAATAAAAATTTAATAAGTGTTTTGCGTTGCAACAATATCAGTATATAATGCGTTCTAATTTTTTTAATAAAACTAGTGTAGCTTGCATGCGTTTCAGGGAAGTTTTACATGTAAATGTTATCTTTCTATATTCAATACTCAGGCGTGTTAGTCTGTTAATCTGGCGGCATTCAGCAAGAGTCCCTGTGGAGTTAGTGGGCATTAGCTAGACCAGTTAATTTCTTTATGAACTAAGTACATGTAACAAACAGGAAAATATTTATACTTTATTTTCATGTTTATTGAATAGTTTACAATGATTGTCGTAGAACAAGCATTACCCTTAGCTAACAGTGTCATGGGGTTTATCACAGTTGCTTTTAATTTATATTTTCCTTGTTTACCCTGGCTTTATTTATACTGTAGCGGCAAGTTATTTTGGCACCTTGATCAAATTATCCATTGTTAAAAGGATCACATTTTCTAGCAAAACAAACTTTTTGAAGTAAAAAAATCGGGTCTAGATTAGATAAATATGAACTCATAAAATAAAATAAAGTGCTCAGAAATTTTGATTCTTAATTGCTTGTAAAAATCTCCTAGCAGTAAAAATAAACTTTACCTAAAAGTGTTTCTTTTTTCACGCAGGTACAATAACAGATGCTCTTATTAAAATACCCGATAAGTAGTCAGTATAAAATGTACTACTGATATAAATAAATAGATAAATCAAAAATAAATAAATAACAGAAAAATAATTAACATCATCTCCAGCTATGTATAATGTTTGATTCCAGAGTAAATTACTATAAATTAACCATTTTACAAGATAACATAACCTTGCACAAGAACACTGATAATCTTCACACGGAGCAGCACCTAACTGAACCAGCTAGACCACCCTGACAAGTTCTAACAAGTAATTATGCAACAGTTTTTTTGTTTCCCTTTCACAAGTTTTTTTTGCAAGAAAAAAATCAGATTTTTATAGGCAAATTTGGGGAAAAGTGTATTATGCATTATGTCATACAGGTAGAGAGCGCTAGCTAGGATCTGTCTGCTGTTTTTTCTTCTTGATAACACTGGTGACGGTAACTTTGAGAGCAGACACTGCAGCATTCAACTGCTCATCTATGTCATGAAGTGCTTTCTGTTGCTCCTCAAATAATGATTTTACATTCCCATTATCTGCTGAACTATTTGTGGTCCCTGGAAAATATTAACGCCATGATTAAATGCAAACAAATTATGAACAGTTCTCATAATTTATAAAAAAATTGCTATTTAATTGAAAATGATTTTTATTAAGTAAACCAATTCTGCTTTTTTAAAGAATTAAGTAACTTCCAAACAGCTTCAAGATTAAATTGGAAACAAAATTATGTATACACCACTTTCTCACCTAACTCCTTCACATTTTTTAAGCCCCTCTGAACATGGCGGACATCTTTGAAAAAGACCTTAAGACCCTTGGCAATCTCTGCATCTAAACTGGTGGAGGGATGTTTAGGAGGAGGAGGTTCATGGCTGCTACCAGTGGAGGAGTTGGAGTTGATGGAGTCATGACTTCCTCCATGTTGATCTCGCTGTAAGTGAGCCACGCGGCTGTTCACAGGGTGAGGAATGGTCTCCTGATGATCTGACAACAAATAGGAACAACTTTTTAAAGTATAAAAAGCCTTGTGTAGCATAACTGCATATGAAATGAACTTGGTATCAATTATTAATTGCATGCATTTAATGTTGTTTGGTTATGTTATATACATATAATATGATACCAAATTGAAAAAAAAACATATCAAAATCTTAAAACAAGCACATGAATGCTAAATATACATATTTAGAAAAAAAAAGGCATAAGCAGCAACTTCTATACCTAGTTTTTGCAACTCCAGTGCATTTTTATGTCTTTCCACTTGCTGTTTCAGCTTGAAGTTTTCTTTCTTTGCTTTCTGATAAGCTGCTCTTAGATGATCACACTCCTCTGTTTGTCTTTTAAGAACTCTCCTGAGTTCAGCTACCTCAGGATCCTAAAGCACAAGCAAAAAAATATTTAAAAATTTACATTGGGACTTTTCAAAGATTCTAGTTAAGTCATGTGAAGGGGTGATTTAAAGTTGCCGAGTTTTTAACCTAAAGCTAATTCGAAAATAATATCAAATGTTTGAGATTCCTAATGCTATCAATCTTTTTCTTTGGTTAATAAAACTTCAGAAGTAGTTTAATATCTAAAGAAGATGTGTATTTTCCAGCACAGATGACCAAAGCAGGTGGTCTGCACCAGCAATGGATCCAGGATTATTTGAAAGGGGGGGGTCCAGAATGACAGGCTTTGGATGCAAAGCTGACCATCGCCTCCTTGGTGTGGGGTTTTGGGGCCTGCTTAAGGGCCCTGAAAATTTTTTGGTGTTTGTGAGGGCAAACAGTGCCCTTTGGTATGGTTTAGAACTATGATTCAGCTAGTCAAAATACTAATTTCAAAAGGGGAATATTGGTGTGATATATATTTTGGGAACCGAAGGGGGGGGGGGGGCAGGACCCCCCTGATCCCCCCTTTAAATCTGCCACTGGTCTGCACTGTACCTCATCTGTGTGGTCAGCCAGGGAGCCGGAGCTGGGTCTAGAGGAAGCACTGCCCGAGTCGGGGTCCACTAGAAGTCAACATTGGGAAAAGATGAACACTTGAAAGAATCAAATAGATCCTCTCCCCCACCAAAAAACACTTATCAAACAATGGCATTAAGCTAAACATGCTTATATGAAACTGTGAAATGTATAATTCATTATAATTATTTTCTTTTTTCATTGCCATACCCTAATCAAATGGAACTACTTTGAAACCTATTAACTAAAAAATATAAAAAGAAATGATTGTCAAGATTTTAAAATAGAAACTGTAGAATAATTCGTAAAAATTATTTTCTTTTTTTTTGCCATGTAATTTTAAGTCCCTGTCATACCTTCTTTTATTAATAATATATAATTTAACATTTTGGCAGAGGACACTGCTCACCTTGTGTTCCCCAGAGCTCTATGATAATGGCATGTGTTTGCAGATAGTCGTGGAACTCTGGGGTCACCTTCTCTATGGAAAAGTGTTTTTTGAAGTGAAACTTAGCATTGCTGTTTCCCCACATGGTCTTGGTAGTGATCAGGTCTGGCTGTCCAAAAAATCGGAACCTAGTCAGAGGAAAAGAGTATTTCCATCAGAAGAACTGTTCACATTTTGACCCATGAGAAAGTGAAATGTTGCAAGAGTTCAGTTGCAGTGGCATGCTTGAGAAATGTAATATGTAACTTGACATTAGGACTAGTAAAATATTATCATACCTATTTGTTCAATAAATTAGGAAAAGCTGAACCAAAAGTATGCTTTAGAAATTTAATCTAAAAGTTGTCTTTTATTGGAAAATTATAATTAAAATGAACCAGTAAAAGACAAGTATGAATCTACCCACAGTACACCCCTCTGGCCAGGTTGTTCCCTCTCACCCACTTCACACCCATACTGTACCTACCCACAGTACACCCCTCTGGCCAGGTTGTTCCCTCTCACCCACTTCACACCCATACTGCACCTACCCACAGTACACCCCTCTGGCCAGGTTGTTCACTCTCACCCACTTCACACCCATACTGTATCTACCCACAGTATACCCCTCTGGCCAGGTTGTTCCCTCTCACCCACTTCACACCCATACTGTACCTACCCACAGTACACCCCTCTGGCCAGGTTGTTCCCTCTCACCCACTTCACACCCATACAGTGGTCTATGACAAAGACAAAGTCCAGTGGGTGCCCTATCAGTTCTGCAGGATCTAGCACCAGGGAGTCATCACTCAATACTCTGAAATACACAAATATAGCAGTTAAAATAATATTCTCCCTTCTTTTATTTGGTTTACAAATATGCATAAGAAAATTGCCAAAAAACACTATCTTAAAGTTTTTACTTTTTTATTAAAAAATGGACTCGTTTTCTTCAATTTTCTATAAAAAACAAAACATGCTCAAGTAAATGTCCTAGTTAAGTTATTCCAGTGTGGAGAAGAGCTGTTGCAGTGGTAATAATTTAAAGCCCATTCCACTGGAGTACAGAAGTATCTGTCTCAACTCCACCTACTTTCCCGTGTGGTCACAGGGCAGCATCTTGATGTGGATCATGGCCTCCTCTCGCCCGTGATGGTCAATGATGTCCAGTTGGTCATTAGTTTCTATCTTGTAGGCCAGACTCTGCAGCCACAGGTGACAGCTGGGGGCATTTAAGATACATCATCATCAATACCGGTCAAATTGGTGACCAACGCTACCTTTATGACTTTAAAGTTAACCAGCAAAAATTTAGTTTTAAAAATGTTACAGCATTTTAAAATTTGAAAAGAATAATTCTACTATTTGCGAAAACAATTTTAAATTCAACCTTCACATAATACTATATTGAGACAAAAATAATCAAGGGTTTAACATCTAATGATGGTTCTAAAACATCTGAGTGTAAATATATAGTTCTTAAGATTAGACCGACTAAAGTGTAATAAGAAATGTAAAAATTTTAATTTTAAAAGATGCGGCCACTCCTACCTCCCCAGAAATACATCTTCCACAGGGTCCCAGAAAGGGTCATGATGTCTGTCTATGGCAATACTCTCTCCATTACACCATTTGGTATACATGTCTTCTATCAGAAACTTCCTGTTGATAAACTTTGCCTTTGACCACACCCACACCTGAAATATGAGAACTGGGGCTAGGGATTACAATGTTCTCTGTTGCCTGGTGCCATGCACTGATCAGGAAGGGGTTCTGGGCCTTTAGAAAAAGCAGATTGGAATGGCTCTTTGGCCTTCTGATCTAAGGGTCTGGAGAGCACATAAGTAGGAAAACTGCAACCCCCCCCCCCTCCCCCCAGAAAAATTTTTGAACTTAATAAAAAAGCAATATGCCTTCCTTGTAAATACCTCAGTGTTTGCTGTGTCAACTCATTATTAGCAATGCTGATAACAAGAGATCAAAACATGCAACAAGAAAATTTGATTCATTAACTTATATTTAAAATCATATCATTGTGTTACCTCTTCAATATATGTTTTAATTTAGCATACTTATGAGTTATATAAGTGAAACTTACCTGCTTGGTTTTCTCATTGGTTACTTTAACAATAACTTCTTTCTTCATATCTCTCCCAACTTCATCATGTGCTGCTAGATTTTTCACCTCTGGCTCAAAGGAGACACCCTGAACATAGCCAGTGGAGAAATGTTTTAACTGTATTTCACTGCTGAAGGCACAGAAACTTATTTTTCAAATTTAAGTAACCACAACAGGTGAACAGCACTTACATCCACCTCTGAATTTCACATATTTTTTTTCTTTTTTGGCAAAATAAATTTAAAATTTAATAAAAAAATTAATAAATAACCCACTTCATTATTGCTTAGGCCTCAAAATTTCAAAGAAACACAGGCATTTTGGTAAAAAAGTTGTCAGATATTAGAATTCAAAAGAATAATCAATAACTAAAGATGGAAAAATTGAAAAAGTATAATATAAACCTTCTGCATTTCTTGACTCATCACTTTTGCCTCTTCAATTTTTGGCAGTAAGTTCATATATTCATGTAGCACCATCATCATTGCAGACTTGTCCTCATTGGGGTCATGGTGACCTTCCCTGGGGGTCAGTAAACTGTTCGTATGAAATCCAGACTCTTCTGCGAATTCTGTCTGAAAGAATTCGAAGTCATACTGCTCCAGGTTCTCGTGCTGTGCGCGTTCGCTGGGGAAGCCGACGTAGAGGAACAGACTGCTGGAGCCAAGCATTATGCGGTCCTTTATCAAAAGAAAAACAAATAATATTATTAGTCCTGTTTCCTCTCTAACAACAATATTTCAAGAAAAAGAACACTCTAATATATAAGTATCTGACCTTTTATTTACATTATGTAATAAGGCTGAAAGTTAATCTGATATATACTTCAAAAATGTCACACAAAATTTCATTTAGTAGTGCTTATTGAAAATATTGCAGGAAGTCACTGCATGGGTTTTATTAACAACTTTCAACCTATCCATAAGCAAAAACAATTGAATTACAACAGCCACTAGAGTGCAAAAAGCCACTTACCAGATGTGTCAGAGTTCTCTCCTTTTGCAGAGGAACACCATTGACCAATAATTTAGCTTGTTGGACAGCGGGCCTTATCAACACCTTTTGTCCAGTATTGCACATTACGGCATGATGAGGCTGGATCCTGAATATCGTGAAAAAATCAACATCTCGAGAACTGATATTGCTTTTTAAAATCAAATAAAAGTACTTCATAATAAAAGTTTTGAATTTTGAATGAAAATTGTATATTAGCTGAATAAAATTATTATTATCACAATAATCTATAATCATGCTATAAAAATTGTTCATCCATGCTGAGGATCACAGGCTTATCTGCTCTCTGCTCCCACTTTATTTTATTAGAATCAGACATGAGCATTCCCTGCTTGATGGTGCATTTAATCTAAACTTTTGATATATCTTCTTCAAGTGCTTACCCTAATCCATGTAGCTCTATACTGACTCCATTCCCTGGCTTGCCAATGACATACTCTTCTGAAGAACACAAAGAAGGAAAAATATCATTAAAATGTGTGACTTTCAGCTCTTTACAAAAATCATAACCTTACAATATTCTTATATAAGTCAATCTGTGTAGTACTGTCAATCATGTTGAGAACATGATAACTTTACAATTAAGTTCCTTGCGTAAAAATTGCTGCAACAAATCACACATTCACAAGCCACATTTATCCCCATCTACCCAGCCTCACCGTGATCAAGTGCCCCCTCTTCCACTTTTCTATAACGCAACATTTGTATAATATTAATCAGAGAAGAATTTCATCAACTGTGTTATGTTATAAGAAAAAACTACTTTTTTCTTTAATCAACCGCTAATTATTGAAATTGCCTCTTTTAAGGCAGTAGGAGAGGAAAGGCAATCAACTGGATATCCTCATTCCCTGATGAAGATGCTATGACAGACAACAAAATATTGGAGGTGAACAATTTCAATACTTAGCAGTTGATTGAAGAAAAAATACTTTATTTGTCCAGAACTCACTGTTTTGCAAAGCATATTTGACTACTCCTGACAGGTGAGGGTCTTCATTGACATTCCTCAGGTACGGGAAGTGCTGCCAGGTAAGATCCTCAGGATGAAGCTCCTGGGCGTGAGACTTCTCCCATTCTTTCCTGTAGGGGATTTGTTTTAACAAGTTCATAAATATAATATCTCTTATTTTGGTGTGTGTGTGTTTGTGTGTGTGACTGTGCACATTTGCCAGCTGCACATGCACAGTGTCATTAAGAAAAAAAACTTTAATTGGTTCTTTAATCATTGCACGTTGCTATAATTGAACACTATATTTTCCAGTAGAATGTTGATAATTAATATATTATCTAATCAAAATTATTTGTGAAATTTTTCTCCTCTGATTCAATTTTCCAGGAACCGTTTTCACGTGGCATGTTTAGGCTTGAAAAATATAACTCGCACAATTAACTGTTTTTCACCTTGTAACATGTTTAATATGCTCTACAATTACCTTGCTTCTTCTAATCTTTGTTCCCATGACAACTGAGCTTCCTGCATTTGACGCTCATTCTCTTGTAGCAGACGTTCAAGTTCTGCAAAACAAAGAGTTTTTTGTTTTTTGTAATCGATAAGATCATCTTACAGCAAAAGCAGAGTTTTGTACTTCATACATTGGTCATATATAAATAAGATCATCATACAGCAAATGCAGAGTTTTATACTTCATACATTGGTCATATATAAATAAATCTATTAAATATAATTCATCTTATGGTAGTGTTTGAATTTACCTCTGTACAGTAATATATGATGAACAATATACAGTTGATAAATCATAAATAAATGGCTTTCAACTAACCAATATTTAACAGTAAATTAAAAATAGCATTAAATAAATAATAATTAAAAATATTATTCAAATAGTATAAAGAATCCAGTCCACAATAGTTGATAATCCTGGAGTGTCGTATACTATACCTTCTGTTTTCACGACAGCCTTGACTCCCGTTCCCTGTGCCTTCAACATGGCTAACAGCTTGTTGTTTTCCTCCTTGAGCTCTCGGATCAGCCTCTCTGTGGGACTCTCGTTGATCACAGCTTTGTTCTGGATCTTCTTGGCCCTGGAAATTATTCAGTGATATTTATTGGTGATAAAAAGTGAATATTTGGATTATGAGCATAGCCAAATTAAACTTCTTGTTGCTTGCCAGTCAAATACATGCTAGTGGGCTGAGGGATGAGAGGGGGGCATTAAAAAGAACCAAGCTTATGGCTGGAAAAGGTCTACTCTGAATAAAAATTTGGCATGTGCTCTATGCCATTTCTCACATTGGGTTGACTGAGAGGAGAGGGAGATAAAAAAATCCATTTTTCACAAAAAAAAAAAATAAATAATAAAAAATACAACTCATTTTGAAACAGGACACAGGACACTCAAACACACGTATGTCATTGCACGTGTGTCTAATATAGTTGATATATTTTCTTTCATAAAAATAATCTTAATTTTAGAAGTTAACCCACCTGTCAGCATATCTAAGTGTTGATAATGTTTCATCATAGTTAATTGCTGCTGGGCTCAGGGCTGCTATCTGAACAAAAAATGGTAAATATTAATTATCACCTTTCACAATTGGTTCATTAGTGTGACTGAAAGACTTTATCAACTTTTCAATTCTTATGAACTAAGACTTGTTCAGACTGCAAAAAAAAAAAAAAAATTATTGCCAAAAGATTTTGCCAACTTTTTCATTCTAATGAACTAAACCTTGTTCAACTGAAACAGACTGCAATCAAATAATTGACAATTAAGATATCCAAAGCTGCCTGGATTTTAATCCAGACTGAGAATTATACACAAAGCATTATATAAACTGCAGCTTTATTCTATCACAATCAAAGCAATTATTATAAAATATTTTTGACATATAACTGGAGACTCACATGTGAAAATAATCAAATGTTCAGAATAATAATTCCCACACATTTATATTTGCAATTTATTAACATACTAAAGTAAACAGACACAGAAAAACATATGGCATTATATATTGAAGCTACACTTTATCACAGGCAATCGCCTTAAAAATATAATCAAATGTTCAGAATGATATTTGCCATAAATATAATATGACATTATATAATCTGTGTAATGGTGTGTTAGCCTACCATGATGGTCCTGCTGTTACCTCCCAGAACAGACTATGATCAAACAACTTTAGTTCATAATAACATTTGCCCTATAATATGTATAATCTGTGTAGTTGTGTGTTAGCCTACCATGATGGTCCTGCTGTTACCTCCCAGAGCTGACTGGAGAAGTTTGGTGAGGACAGAGTCTCTGTACGGCACCATTACTTTCTTCTTCCCCATGGCCAGGTCAGCTAGGGCACTGGACAATTTTTATAAAGATTACAAAATGACTACCTTACTAATAAGTAAATAATGTACGAAGTGTAAAAAAAAGAATGGGAAATTTATTTTGCAGAATATTCAGTTGACATTCAGCTTTTCAGCTTTTAGAACAGAAATTCAAGAACAGAAATGACAATGTAAAATACTGGATCTACTTTGCATCAACTTCCACAGAAAAAAGATTCTCAAAAGTAAGCAAAAACATCCTCCTGTCGGATAAAGCTGAGAAACCTATTCTAAGACTCATGAAAATAGCTTTCAAATTACATTCATTCTGAACCCAGTACCTGATAACATTCCCCAGCGTGGACAGACTCTGGTTGATAGCAGCGCCCTCTTTCAATCTGTCTCCCTCTGCCCCAGTGGAGTCAGCTCTCTCGCTGCCTGCCAGGTCGACAAGACTGACCTCACTGGTCTTAGTGGTGCTCTCCCCCAGTTCATTCATATACAACTGAAAACACAATTTAATACCAAAGTCAGAATGGGAAGTTTTACTCTTAACACGTACTGCAATTCTGTAAATAATGAAAAATCATTTTGTCTGCAAATGTCACTACAAAGTTTTCAAGCATGTTTATTTTAAATTACAAGGTTCACAACAGCAACAAACACTTTTTTTATTATTCTTTCTCTTATATAACCCAACTAATTTTGGTGTGAACAATTTGTCTTTTTCAAAATTATAAAATTATCTTACTGAATTTGTAAAATCAACACATCACTGATTGCTTTATTATTAAATAAATAAAAATATATTAATTGTAAACAATGAATGACAACTATGCTGAATTATGGAGAGACAGTCCACCTGTTTGAACCTAATGGTGATGACCATATGGGATCTGCTGCTGGTGGCATTCATGTTAGTGGCGGCAGTTGTCCTACTCAGTGTTCCCTGATCCATCAGGCGCTCAATCTCATTGTAACTGCGGACTGGCACCGACTGAAATCATAGACATACATATTATTTTTTCCACATATCTTGAATTTTGAGGAAAATTATTTGTTATGTTTAAAAATTATGTTTTATGTTGTGGCACAAACTTTAGACCCCCAGTGCAAGTTATCAGGTTGAACTTAAGAGGATTGAAAGAATTACCGGCACCACTAGTATATTTGGTGATGTAAACTTACAGGTAATTATTAATTATAATAATTAAAGGTGGCAGGAAAATATGCATATCAGTGGACATTCATATGACACCTATAAACACATCTCAAGTTTGCTTTCAAATTTTTCTTGGCTTAAAATGCACTTAATAAACATAAAAGTTTTTTTTTCTTTTTTATATAAATATTTGATTAAATTAGCAGAAATATTTTTACCACAAACAACAAATAGTATGGAATGAGATTGTTTTAAACATGCTACACTATAGTTATATAGTACCTTCAGTCCATCCACATAGAAGCCAGATTTGGGGTGCTGGCGAACTTTGAGGCCCCCCTTCTGCTGCTGTTTGGCAGGAGTCAGGAGATCGCGGACCTGTTCATTATATATCTCTAACATACTGAACGTCACCTGGAATTATATGGCAACACTGAGTAAACACGTGAAAGACAAGATAATTTTAGATAAAATGCACTATCACATCAATTCTATGATTACTGTGTAATCCTTCAATCTGAAGTACAAATTTCATCTATGGCAGTCACGTCATGCAATAAACAATCTAAGTCCAGATAGATATCAAAATATTCAAATTGAATTTCTATGAATTTAAGACATTTGCAGCAATTAATAAAGTCCTGTAAAATTTATAAGTCAGTTAATATATTGAATTGAAATATTAGGATATTGAAATGTTGATGATATATCAGTGTATACTGATAAAAATTCAACAGGTGAATTCCAAAGTTTATGTTACCTATGCCACATAACTGAGTAAACTCAAAAAGGTATATGATAAAAAATTAATAAAAAAATTTTTTTATTCTTTTTTTTTTTGTTCTGTTTTTCTTTGCCTATAAGTTTTTATATTGCAAGTTCCATAGTCATATATGAAAGCATTATTATGCAGGAATTATGATTAGCAAGAGTCAATTACAACATGAGATGAGTGGAATAAGGAAGCAATAAACACTTGTGTTTTATGACCAGTCAACACTCAGCCACTTGACTTAAGCAAGAAAGTGCAAGATAGCATACCTCCTTCAGGCTCCTATCTATACAGTCTATATACTGTAGAACTATAATTACCAAAGTGGCATTATTTTATTAGCAATATTTTCCACAGAATGATGTCAACTGTTGCTGTTTCCATAGCAACCTTCAGAAAACAGGGTAGAGGTGTGAATGTGTACCTGACAACTTATAAACCTTATATAATATATGGCTGTGTGTTGCATTTTACATCTGTACTTTATGCCTAGGATGTAAACATGCAACAAAAAAGAAAAAAAAATTAGGTAGCAGCTGTCAAGCAAGACAACTACTGTATTCTGTTTTTTTCTGTATTTTCTCCATCTATAAATATGGTGTAAAGCATGTTTATTATTTGCCCCTGTGTAATACCAGACTATATCTCTTCACTGAGTATAAAACATTTCCACTTTAATCAGATGCATAAAAGTTAGTCCCATTGATGTTCTTTTTTCTCTTTTTTTTTTTTTTTTGGGATATGAAAATATATCCTCACAGAAGATATAATCAGATTTGGAATGGCCCTGAATGGAACAGTATGTCAAGGAAATTATTTTAAGAGAGGGCGAACACATGAAGTTGTATGTATCTACATGTAGGTGTTACTGTTCACAGGTATATAGGGTTGCCTGGATCAGTGGGGGTCTTTTCAATTTCAAACTCTTGATTCAAACATTTATGATTTCAAGTGTATCTATTTATAGTTCAAAGCAGAGAGTACTCCTGCACTATTTAGGCCTATTCTACAGGTTAAAGGAAATCAGAAACGCTCAAGTGCACTTGATTTAAGGCATGTACTCAGGTAATCTCTGTATTGTGTCAGAGGCCTCATAAATCATTCAGTGAGGTGGAACACCAAAGGCATAGCATTTATCTGGCCCCGCCTTGCTTTCTTTTTCAAGAGAAATATCAACAAAACAGTTTAGAATATGTAACAATTAATGCACATTACTGAACATTCACATGGCCAGAACAGGTGTTATATGATAATTATATCCACCTGACACTGACAGGTAAATAGATAAATCATCACACAGCCTTTAATGTCTCCTGCTCACAAATGAAGTAGTTGTTTTCTGATTTATCTCACTAATTCTGTGCCTGGGGCTGGCTTCAACTTGCTTTTGGACATAAATCAATTGGTGTCAATGAAATATTAATGGGGTTTCCAATCCAGTGGCAGTGGTATTTCTAGCTGTGATGCCACCACAGGACTGCTGTCAAACTGGGGAAATCAATGATAACTCTGTCATAACTCATCTTTATTGCTGGAATGTGTTTCTGTTTCTATTCAATTTCAAAATCTTATAAATTAAGTGTGCTTTTTTCTTTGAATAATAAGGATTACCTATGCAGATACTTAATTCAATGTATACAGGGGTACTTTGATCTTTTAAACTCTAGCTGTTTTTTCCTTTAAATCATCTTATAAAAGAAAAAATATCAAGTTAAATCAAACAATCAATAATAAAGCTTCAAATTACCTGCATTTGTTTTTTCTTATCAGTATTTTTATCAATTGCCTTGAAAAGTTCATCACATGTAATGGGTACGATTCCCTTGTTAGGGCCGTATCCCACCATGGAGTAGGATTTCCCTGAGCCTGTCTGTCCGTAAGCAAAGAGGGCGGCATTGTAGCCCTGCCAGGCGTTGTCCAGCACCCCTTGACCCAGGTCATTGTAGACCTGTCGCTGTAACACAAAATAATAGTTTTATAAAAACTGCTGCCTTTTACGTTTCTCTCTTATCAGAGGTTAACAGCAGACATTTTGTATGGCACGGCACCTCATTTTTCCATTTGTTGCTCTGTTAGATCTATAACAGAAGGAATTAGAAATTCAAATCTCCATGCATGTAAGAATAAAGGACAGAAACTAGTGACAAATACTCTTCATTATTAGTCTTGAAAAAAGATTGATACATACTTCAATTTATACGATTCTAACAATGGATTAATGTTAGCAAAATGAACTGCATCTGGAATGACTACTAGTAATTTGCTGTATTACTAAAGGCCTTACTAAAGGCCTTTCATTATTAAGTCAGGTTAATCATCTATTTTTAAATTTTTCATTTTCAAAATGGCAAGTTAAACAAAAAATTAAACAGAATTTTTCTTCATTTTTCTTTCCTAATTTTTCTATAGCTTTACGTTTGTAAACTTTTAGAAGTATATATCACATGACAATGTGTCTCTTTACTTATTCTAGTGCTGTAATCATATTTCTACACGATAGACATAAGCTACATGTTATCTGAGAGCTCAGTAAACTGTTTGTTTGTATATTCTACCGTCTGAAGAGGCAAGAATATACGAAACTCAAACATCACACAGGATAAAGGATCCACTACAAAGTTTTCTCAGATAACATTTTCGTGATGTTTTCTCATTTCATTGCCACCATTTGTGTGTGAATTAGGGCACTAATGAAAAACCAACCAAATATGTTTTGTAAATTTAATGATGAAATATTAGAAAAGTTCATCAATGAAGTCAAACAACGGCATATAAAATTTACTGCAGACTGTATCAACTTGTAGGTACATACACTGTGGAAGACATGCCAAACTGTTTAATGTAAGCTGAATATTATGTCATATCACGTACGATATCAGAGCATTTATTATTTCAATAAATTTACCTGATCTGCATAACTTTCCTTCTCCTTAATATAAACACCTGTCTCGTTTTCTTTGAACCCATCATGTGACCAGTAGGAATGGTCAAAGGCAAATGTCTTAGTTTCTCCATTTTGAGGGTTTGTTATGGTGGTTGCATTACCCCTCATGGATATCACCAGCTTGGAGTTGGCATTCTTTTCTCTCTGAAACACAATGCTAAATCAGTAATTTTAACAAAATAAGTTGCTCTTAAAAATTCATGTGCACATATGCTAAATAATTTCCATATTTCATCAGTATCATAACCATTGGAAATTAAACTAAAAAAGTAAAATGGTTTTTATTTGACTTTATCCCTATTTATAAGTATAAAATGACTAAAAACTATATTTCAGCATTTTCTTATGTTTCATAAAACAGCAGCACTGGTATACTTTTGCAATATTCAAAATATCTCAAAAATCTTATTATTTACAATTTAGCTGTGGGTATATCCTTTCATTTTCTAGCTATCTATATGAATGTGTCAACCAATTCATAAAATAAATACACCTGTGCTAGTCTTCAGATACAAGTAAGGTGCTCACCACAGTGACAATCCTGTTGCTATAACATTGGTATCAATGAACACAAAGTCAACATACAGGATAAGATATCTACTGTCCACAAATCTCACTGACGAGCTCCGTCTTCAATCAGGCAGTAATCAGCAGGATTATCAGATTCTCACACACCGATACCTTGAGCAAACTTTCTTATCAAAGTGAATCAAAAGTTACAAATTATCTCTAATCTATCGGGGAAAAAACACGTACAAAGAATTAAGGTACTGTCTTATCTTATATCTTTTCCTGTAAGAAAACAAAAAATGCTGCAAAAGTTAGTACATCATTATTAAAGAAGTAAAAGGAAAATATCACAAACATACTGCAGCTGATCCCATAAATTTGTACACTTTTGGAAAAAAAATTAGGCAGAGTCCTCCAGGCTCCTTCAATCTTTTCTAAGAATGTAACTTAAATCACTATCTTGCAATGAGATTTAATCTCTATGTATAAGATGTATCAGATAACTAGACTAGACTAAACAAAACTAATCTTATGTTTACAAAAACATCCTAATTCATGTGCTCTTACATTGAAACTAAGGAATTCCACAAAGTGTGAGGTTCACTGATGTGAAAGAAAATAGTTCCAACATTTTAATAATCAATTTTAGATTAGCAAGATATTTATTATTAAAATATTTTAATCTTTTAAAAATTCTGGTAACAAATAAACACTACCAACTGATGACTAAATTAAATATATAATGATAACAAATGTCATACTACTAATAAGCATAAATATAGAATAATTAAAGCATATCTAAATGGGTATCAATGCATTCTGAATAATACTTTTTTTTCTTTTACCCCCCCCCCCAAAAAAAAAAAAAAAAATTGCAATTTTTAATTTCTAAAAGAACCTTTATCCATCTCATCATCAGTCCAAACTGTAAAAACACACTTTTTCATTTCACATAAAAAAAAACATATCAACAAGTCTGTTAGATAATTTTGTTATCAAACTTTGATTTCATGGTTTTAACTCAAGACATGGGTGTTCAGTTACTTTTTAACATGAAAAATAAATGCATTTAGTTCGACTTGTTGAACATTAATTTGTTCTTTAAAAAAAGTACAGGTTATAAACTCACAGTGTAAGTGTTCTTAATGAATATATTTACATAAAATTGTCTGGATTTTGCTCCAAAGCATTTTTCATCGACTTAACCCCTGTCTAAACTGGGGAGGAGTCACCAAAATTGGGCAAAGCTAATTTCTTTGTCATGTTTAAATCAACTTTTTAATTGGTCGTTAAGGATAATGATAATAACTTAGTAATGGGCTTCAGTAGTGTTTTCTCCTGGCAAAATTATCATGATTCTGTCTGAAGAAAAATGGAAGCCCCTTTTATAGCATTTTTTCAACAGTCACAAAATGCTTTATACATTGTAACCTTCATTTGTATTGATACTGTGGCTGTAAAGAAAAAAACACAAGTAAATTTAAATATGTCCTTGAAGATGGACATGACATCATGGATATAAGGTCCTGGTACAGGTCCTGGTGGGGTCCTCTTTAAAATCAATCTGTGACTAATTCTATGTATTGCTAATAATGTAAAGGTCACTTCTGAACACACCTTACTCTCTACAATTCTGAGAAAACCAAAACTTCAGCTTGTATCAATAGAACATGGTGGCACTATTGACAAAGTCCACCAATCAATAGAATTAACCATAGGAGTGGTGCTGACACTGAGCATAGCTCGACTTCATATTTCAGTGAAGAGTAATTGACAGAAGCCAATAATGACTATAATCCCTAATTCTCAATATTTTTTACTAATCTATTTGATTAATTTTTGTTTCCTTGGAGTGGCAAATCAATTAAATATATAGAATTCAGCTTATTACCTGCATATGTACAGGTGTGTTATTCTTGTGCTAATTGCACACCTGTTGTCTTTAACATACAATTACTGTTCTTATTTAAGTTTATATAATCAACTGGTATTGTGGCAGGTTACAAAACTTGTTTACATTTGGAGTCACAGCAACAGTTAAACTAAAGGGTAAAGAAATAGAATATAATGTGCAGTCATTACATTTACAATGTAAATACTCAGGGAATTGATTGGAGGACAATAACAATTTTACAAAATTAATTTGTGAAAGAGACTTTTCTTTTATCAATCAATCAATGACAGCCTGAGTTTAAAAAGAGCACCTGAGGTCAATGAGTGCACAGGCAGGTAACAAATTGTGGACAGTTCAATATAAATTACCTGTTCTCAGTTATGTTTAACTTGGGGAGGGGGGATGAGGGGGGAAAGAAAAATAGAGGATAAAAAAGTGCTTCTCTTATTATATATACACATATATGTATGGTCAGATTAGTTTCAACTTTGCTTTCAAGTATAACATGCACAAGTATTATATTAAAATTAAGCTGATAAAAGAGACACCAAATGTCAAATTAAAGTTTGTCAAGAGTTGCCTTGCCTGTTTTAAAGGCAACTGATGTTTAGCAATATTTGTAACTCAGTGACATGTGACACATGCAAATGTACGCGGATACTATGTATATTACATTTATTCCCTGAAAAGAAACCCTTTGGTGGCTTCAAGAAAACATGAACTCAACACCTTTTCACTGTAAACCCCCCTATAAGTAGACATACAATTATGTATTATGTACATGAACAAAAGCTGAACAGAATGACACAATATACGTCAATAGCCTAAGCAACCCACCGTTGGCAACAAAAGATTTGCTCACACATTTTTTAACCAATCTCAATAAACAGAGGAATGCAATTAAGGCAGCTAAAAGTGGAATAGCAGGCCCGTTGCCATCAATTTCAAAAGGGGCTTCTTTTTCAAAAAAAGTGGACCTTTTAATATGAAACCCTTGTGTACCTAGATGAAATGATATCAAGAGGGGGCCTTTTCTTGGCAAAAAGGAGGGTTCTTTTGAACCCCCCCCCCCCCCCCCGAACCCCCTGGCTATGGGCCTGAATAATCTGACCGGCTTCAGGTCACATATATCTACCTGTGTCCCTGGTTGATAATATCTAAATAAACACAGAGTTTTCAGGTAGCTGAATACATGGCTGTTCTCAGACTAGAGGCAAATAACTACATGTACATGCACGTGAAACCAATCAATATGCAATTAATTAACATCTATCTGTATAGACTGTACTATGCAGTACATAGCAGACACATCTTGAAGAGTAAACATTTCATGAGTGAAAAATGAAATAAGTTAAAGAACAACTTGCTCCGTTATAACAAAGGTAGGACAACACTGCCTATTTACCCAGGTACAGGTAGCTTATACTGGTTATATAATAGACTAAAGAAGCTATGATTGTGTATGACTAGGTCATTAAAAAGAAACCTCTTTAAATTCTGTATGCCCTACAGAAATTCCACCTGTGATCCAGTCATTTGCTTTAGAAAAGTTGTGGTGACACAGTTCTTGGAAGTCAGGTTGCTGTGGTGGAAGACTCAAACGATTAAAACTTTACAAAGTGGATCACTGATATCCCTATGGGCCCGATCTTAACATTTCTGTATGTCACTTTTCAAACTGTTTTGGTGTGTATATTAGTTACATAGACAGATTTAAATCTACATATCAGAAATATGACCAATTTTATTTAGAGAGAGAGAGAGAGAGAGAGAGAGAGAGAGAGAGAGAGAGAGAGAGAGAGAGAGAGAGAGAGAGAGAGAGAGTTGTGTAAAAAA